ATTACAGGCCCGTGCCCCCCAGGCCCCCAGAATCCCCCCCCCCCCTGGGGGTTTTGGGGAGGGGTTGGTTTTTTTTTTTTTTTACTTTGTTTTTTGCAGAGAAGGCAGTTGAACCTTGACCCTCATACTAGGCAATCACTCTACTACTGAGCTATAGCCCCAGGACTGTTGTTTAATTCAGTCTGTCTTAAGAACACAAGCATATGGAATCACACTAATAATATATGTGACAAAATTCTAAAATAAATTACACTTAAGCTTAACAAAGTGATTTTTAATTCAATCTCTCCTAAGAACATGAAAATATGGAATCATTCTAATAATGCATTTGATGAGATTACAAAATATATTACACAATATATTACAACTAAGCTTCATGAACACTGTCATCTTTTCATACTTACACATAATCAGAATTCTTCCTCTAGGTAAGAAGACCAAAACATAAGGAGTAAGAATCAATTTTTCTATGGTCTTGTTCTCATTTCTTCAAAGTATTATGAAATGAAATACACAAAGACTGGCGATTTGGTAAGAGGAAATATTTGGGGTGCGTTATTGATATGTGTTGCTAAAATCACTTCTTTGCTTCCAGCAAGGTACCAAGCACTACCATGTAGAGGGTAAGGGCACGAAGCCTGGAGACAGACTATCTTGGCTCAAATCCAAGCTCTGGCTCTTCACCATGAGACTTCGGGCAAGATACCTAACAGCACTTTGCCTCAGTTTCCTCATATGTAAAATGGGGTGTCCTACAAAGTAGCTACATCTTAAGGTTGGTAAGAAGATTCAACGAGAAAATACCTGACCAGAACTGAGTCTATTACATGGTGAGTCTTCATTTTAAAAAAGTATCATTTTATCGTTACCATTATTAAGTTTGTTGTAATAAATGTGTACGCTGTACAAAAGGAAAAGGAATTACTGAACATCCAGATGTATTGGTAAAAATCTACTATCATTACATATTGCAATTTAGGTAGCATTTATAAGCAAGATTTTTGTCTTGAGGCCTTAAGATCATTGGAGAGTGAGATGATGGGTCACTGATAATCAGTTTTCTGCCTGGTTGTCACATAGCACTTTGAAAACTGCCCTGTATTTAGTAGCTCATGTAAGGACAGTTACCCAGGATGCGACACAGATTGGGTAATTGAAGACTTGATTCATAGGATTGTTGGTACAAAGTTCAGGCAAGTTAAAAATTCTTGCATGAAGGAAAAATAATAATGGAGCCATTAATCTTCATTCATGGTATCTTAACCAAAAAATATTTGAATTAGGGGGAAAAAGGAGGGTTACCTACCCTGAACAGCTGTGCTGATTATCCAAAACACATGAACCATGTCTGAACTCATTCTGAATTCCCAGCTTAAATATGAGAGAACACTGAAGCTAATTATCCTCCTTCCTCCCACTGATGAGGGATTTCTCAAAGCAGGAGACTATTAACTAAGGCTTTAATATACTCACTGAGGGGGGAATAAAAATGGATCAGTCAAATCAGTGAAAGAGCAGCCTCCCTCAGGAAGGAGTATGAACATCTCCATTCATTCATTCACCCATTCACTCATTCACTTATTTATGCATGATGAGCCTTCACCCTTATCTCCCTCCACTTTCGCACAGATACCTACCATTCACATCTATCCGTTTCTAGTTCCTGAGAGAGTTCTGCCCACACAGAGCTGAGCTTCTGCAAATGCAGCCCCCCTCTGCACACCCTTCCTCAACACCCACCAGCAAAATAACAGAAAACGAATTCCTCCACTATAAGCCCCTTTCTGCTTTCTTCCTTTCTATGGAAATTGGGTACTCCAGGATGAGTAGATTAATGAGCCAGGACCACTTCCCATGTGAATTAGCACTAAAAGAAAATAAATGTTGGGAAAACTGAGGGACATTTTCAGTCCAGAAAAAAAAATGCTTTAAAAATGAATAGAAATCAAGGCCAGAATTATCATGAACTCAAATGTTAAGGCTTAATAGACCTGCAGACAAATTCTTTGCTGGAGTTAGAAAACCATCTCTGGTCTTTTCCAAGTTGATAAAGAAATGTTGTGAAGCCCACCATGTATGCTAGAAATAATGTCACATATGAAAGCTTGGTGGGGCCTGGCAAGCAGTTGAATACACTATGCTAAGTCTCATTCATTTTAATTATCTTGCTCCTGACAGAAGAATACAATGCCTTCTCCTCTCGGGATCAGACCAGTCCTGCATGCATAGCCCTGGACCAGGGAGAATGTCAAGAATTCACTTCTATGTGCAGGGCTATCACATGGAGCACTGTACAGCCCTGTCCTGCCTCTGTGATCTGTGAGTCTTCCTCTCTACATCCAGAGTATACCACCATCAAGCAAGGAAGGATTTCTCACTTATTTAACCCTCCTATAATAAAACAAGATGCTGTGCACATCTCCTAAAAGGCAATTTACCTATAGGAACACATTTGCAATCATCGACAACTGAAGAAGACATGGCTTGCTCCATGTCTGACAGTTCATGGGACTTCATTTTTATTTATTTATGTTTCATTGGGATTATAAACATAAAAGTCAGAAGAATGGAAGGAAAACAGATTATACATGAATCATGCATGTACTAGAAAATAACCCAAGGGCCCTTAAACTTCATGAGCATAAGGATTTCCAAAGGCATTTGTTGACATAGTAGAACCCTGGTTCCCACTACAGGACACTTGATCCCATGAGTCTAGAATAGAGCCTGAGAATCTACATTTTCACTGCCCAGTCCCCAGCCATTCCTATAAAGTCAGTCATTTGTGGGCTACTCCCTGAGAAACATCAAGACCATATGTGTTAAGCCACTCAGCACAAAACCTGGATCATTACACATTCTCAACACTTACTAGTTATCATTATTAAGAATCCAAATCAGCCAAGCATCATGGCACATGCCTTTAATCCCAGCACTTGGGAGGCAGAGGTGGGTGGATCTCTGTGAGTTCAAGGCCTGGTCTACAAAGTGAGTTCCAGGCCAGCTGGGGCTACAGAGAGACCCTGTCTCAAAAAGACAAAAAATAAATAAATAAATCAGAATCAAGGGCTGGAGAGCTTGCACAGCCATTAAATATTCAGGCTCACAACCAAAAAGACAAGAATCAGAATCAATTCCAGCTTCACCTACTCACCTTAGACTTGACCTATGGCTGAGTGAGAATTATACAGGGGTGTAACAGTATAGGAGCAAGCCAGGAGTGGTATTCATGCAGCAAAGAGAAATGAGAAGAATCTGGAAACAGGACATTGACATGCCTAATTTGTGCTATTCTAATGATTCTTTAACCACTGATGAAAACCCTTGAACCCCAATTATCCCTCATTCCATATTACCAACAGCTCCTAAAAGATTATGCAAGAGTACTTGAAATAATTATCCATAGACCAGGAAATTTCAAAGTAAAAACATACAAAATATTATCATTTCATTTTTCAGCCTCAGACACAGAAAGCACAATATCGTTATTTGTTTTGTAGAGCAAAGTGGACACCAGGGGCGTTTCTAGGTGGCTAAGTCCACCAACTTTAGCACAATATCACAGAACTGAGTCTCAGCCCTGACTGGCTATTGTACTTCTATGAGTCTTACAGTCTCCCTTTGCTGGTGATGGAGGTCCTCAGCAGGTGGTTGGAGCTGAGTGTGTCTACTTGCCACTTGGAACCACTCCTCCCATTAAGTGGGATGGCCCTTCAGGAAATCCTTGGTTTGTATGCTCCTGAGCATAGGACAAACAAAACTCTGTTGTTTAAGAGCATCAATAACAAAAGCTTTTGTTCTTCCAAACCAAGACAGGAACTGTAGATCTATACAAAACCACTGAGTCTTAAGTGCCTAAGGATGACAAGAATGAGATATTATTTTGGGCTGTCCATCAGCACTAGTCACTCAGCCTTGTCGCCTAGCTTCAGAAAACAATGACTCAATATGGCCATTTTCTGATAGGCTGCAGCCTTAGGAAAATACTGTTCCACATATTTGGACCTAGGGCTCTTCCTGCATTAAAATAAATGGATGCCATTCAAAACCCACTTAGCTTTCTCCCTTTCAATCTTGCGCATAGGAACACAGCTGTTTGTACTCATATAATGAGAGGGAAATGGAAACTCTGAATGAACAAGAAATCAAAGTACTTTTTTTTACTCCATCCCAGGTGCTTGACATGTGTTTCACTGCTTAATTTGCCCAATAACCTCTAAGAGGTTGGTATCATTATCCTCGTTTTTAATAAGAATAAGGAAGTTTAAATAAGTTTCCCTGAGGACAGAGTGTAGAAAAGAGGCAAGCTGGGAGTTAAATTGGAAAGAGGTACACATAGCTCCAATAGTTCCTGTCAAGATCTATGTGAACATATAACCTTATGTGAGTGTCATCATCCTGTTTAACACCCTGCTTAGCATCACTAAATAATTTTGCATGTTGGTATCTGAAGGGCTACACTATGGGTTTTGTTGACTACATAGGATTTTACAGTAGGTTTTAACTATAATTTATTATACCAATCTCTTATTGATAAACATAGATGTTTCTGGTTTTCTTCCCACCACACGTGAATACTCTCTGACAAGCATATATATATATATATGGTACTATTATGTCTGTGTAATCATCTCCTTGGGATACGTCCTAGACTAAGAACTACTGAGTACAGAAACTATGTATTTTACACTGTGCTACTTATCCAAAACGATGTACCTGGTAGCTGCAAAAGCAAGCCAATTTCCTCAAACTCAGAGGCACACCAGTTTTAAGCAGCCATTTACACTCCTGACAAAATGATGAGGGGAGGGTGTGATGGCATTTTTATTTTTATTTGCATTTCTGTGGTTATTAAGGAGGCTAGGCATCTTTTCCTATGCATTGATCGCTTACAATTCTTCCATCAAGTCATTAACCCTATTCTCCTTCTACCCTCGTATCAGAGTCCGAATAAAAAATCTTTTTCACATATTTTCTCCCACCAATTGCTGTTTTTTTTTTTCATTGTCTGAGTTCTCAGAGTTCATGTGCTAGAATAGTAGAGACTTTTATCTATAGCCTAAAAAAGATTTGGTAACATATTACCAGAGTGATTAGTCAGATTTCATAAAACATGTTCCAAGAAGAAAAACTGGTTAAGTCTAAAGAGCAGAAAGCCATAAACTCCTCCTTAGTTGTCTACTTCAGAAATAGGTCATCCCCTGACGTTATCAGCTGTTGTTTACCTTACAAGAAACAATGATCTATTCAAACTTAATCTTCTGCTGCTGCTGCTGCTGCTGCTGCTGCACAGAGAAATTTGGATAAGAAAAGAGAAGCTGGAAACAGTATGGACAGGACAAACATCCTCAGATCAGGGGAGCTGGAATAGAGACAGGATACACATACACACACACACACACACACACACACACACACACATACTGCTATACCCCAGACAGAGGTAGATGACAAAACGTATCTAAGACCACACTTAGAGTTGTCCTCCCTCAGAGGATAATGAAGCCAACACATATAAAGTACTTTGTCTAAAACAGTTGACAAACAGTAATTCCTGACTCCTTGAACAAAGCTTATTTTACTAGAAGAAACTGTCCAGAGATAAAGAAGAGCCCAAGTCAAGTTCCCAGAGCTTAAGACATTAATTCTACTTCCTGAAATGCCAAAGTTATAATTAAAATTGTTATGTCAAAAATACCCTTACTGTGAGAGCTGGAGAGATGGCTCAGTGGTTAAGAACACTGACTGCTCTTGCCGAGGACTGGATTTCCATTCCCAGCACCCACGTGGTGGCTAACAATGGTCAACAACTCCAATTCCAGGAGAATTTGACACTCTCTTCTGATTTCCACAGGAATTTGCATGACATGGGTGCACTTACATACATGCAGACAATACACTCATACACATAAAAGTAAAAATGATAAATGAAATTATTTTTTTAATACCCTTACCCTAGGCCTAGGAATTTATACAGAGGTGAGCAGGTCCATAGCTGGCCAACATTTTAGCCTTTAAGACTGTTTAGCTATGGACAGGGGGCTTCTGGGACAATGTGAGACTGCCTGTCCCCTTGCTGCTCACCTCAAAAACAGCTATGACCAATGCACATTATAAAGCAGGATAAAGCAGGACAGGGCCTAGCATTTTCCTCATAAATATCATGCATAATTAACTTTGTTTAGTTCACTCTATCCATTCTGATTCATCCAAATTCAAGCTCTGAGTAAAAGAAAGTTGAGCCTGGTCATACAGCCTTCTCTCCTTCTTGAGAGGCTTTGCCTTAGTCCAGCAGAGACCCAAATGTGGCCAAATCCCTGACAAGAGAACTGGACAAGAGCTATGCTATCCATCTCACCTGTAGTTTTTTGTAAATGTATAATAAGCAGCCCCAACATTCACATAACCAAAGTGACCCAAAACAAACAACAAATCAGCTAATGGCATTATCTCTCACTCTGTAAGTGAGATTCATGCTAGCCCCAGGATGATGCTCTTACCAAACCCAAATGAAGCTATATTCCACCCAACAGAGATGCTTGGTAGTCAACATCCTTGAAAGTCAACATCCTCCATCGTTTCCCATTTTGAGTGCATTTTCTCCTGAACTCTTTAGATATCTATGTGAACAAGCAGAATAAACCACACTGAGATTTAAAGAACAACTGGAAAGGTACTTTGAGGAAAACAGTCTAGGATTCAGTATTGGGAACTGGTCTATGCCAGAAGATACACATGCTTCACAGATGCAGTTTTACTCCTCACAACTACTTTCTAGGGTGCAGCCTCTTAATTCAGCCTTATATATAAGGAAGCAGAGGAGACAGCTCATTTCTGGGCTCAGTGACTCCTCTTCAAAGTTTCATGAACTTTCATTGAGACATTAGCAGTTCTTGGAGAAAAAACAAGGAAAGGGAAAAGTCTGTTTTTGAATATTAACTTGTTGTGAAAGTTGACTCCTGGCTGTATGACAAACTAACTTCCATCAGCTCCTTCCTTGGTAAGAAAGAAAAAAAAAAGAAAGAAAAAAAAACTGTCTTATGCTGATGCCTTTCTTTGGAAATAGGATGCTTCCCACAAGAGACATTTTTTCCAAAACTTTATTTTAGGAATGTTCTGTGGACTCCAAGCCATCTTCACATAGGAAGTCTTAAACCTCTGAATCAAGGATAAACTCTTCAAGTAAATTTCAGCAACCCTGTTGGTCATTACAGACTCTAAAAATAAATAGCAAAGAGCCATCCAGGGAAAGCTAAACTGTTGGTCAGGAACATGTATAAATGCATGAATTTTTAGTAAAGATGTACTAATCCTTGTAGTATATTTCTTTCATTTCCTTGGGAGTTTCCCCAGCAACCTTCACGTGGTTTGAGGAGCCTTCATTTGCTGGCTCTGGAGGTTGTGTCATATGCAATTGGTTTCTGTTTCCTAAAACAGTCAATTTTTTATTTTAAATTCAATTTTAAATTTCTGTCATTATTCCTTTTTTACAAACTCAATGTAATAGAAATGAATACCTGTTCTTAAGGACAGAAGAGATTTCTATTTGGACATATTTAAGACTCACAGATGGGTATAGTGGTGTATACCTGTAGTCACAAGAACTTGGGAGACAGAGACAGGTTAGTTTGAGGCCAGCTTGGTCTATATAGTGAGTTCCAGGCCATCCAGGACTACATAGTAAGACCTTGTCTTTAAAAATGTTTTTAATTGCTTATAATGCACCTTATACAGCATTACATGAGGGAGAATTCTTAGCCTCACAGATTTACCTAAAATAAAATCTGGTTCAATATTAAGTATTTATAAGAACTCGATAAATACACGCTCATTAATCACATCCATGAGCATGGTAATAATAACAAGATGTATCTGCAAAGAACTTTGGTGTTTTCCAAAGTGTTTTTACTTATTATTTTAAATGGCTCAAAGTTCCATGGAGGACTAGGTAGAGGCTTTGTGAACATACACATGAAGTTTTATAATCTGCTATAGGGCCTGGCAAGATGGTTCAGCTGGTAAAGGTGCTTGATGCTAAGCCTGACAGCCTGAGTTCAGTCTCTGGGATCCACACAGTAGAAAGAGAAAACCAACTCCTGCAAGCTGTCCTCTGACTTCCACATGAGTGCCATGGCACATGTACTCCCTACCCTACTCCACATAAATAAATAAATGAATGCAAAAAAAGCTTAATCTGTTAAGGCCACTCGTCAGCTCTGCGACCTCAGGTGCTTACTGAAGTGCTCTGAGCCACATCTTTCTCAGCTATAAAGCATGAATGATGATCTTACTCCTGCCATGCAAATTGGATAAAAAACTTAATGATGATGTGTGCCAAAGGCACAGTAAGTAGCTAACATAGGTCAAGCATTTAGATATGGAAATTATCACTGTTATTATAAGGCAGAGCTGATATCTGATATCCCTTTCTACAATTGAGACACCTGAAGCTGAAAGAGATTAAGTGATGCTCCTAGTCACTACAGCCACTATTGCAGCCAGGACTGGAATATTGTCTCTATCCTCCCCCAGGGAAGACCTGCCTGCTCTGCTTCAAAACTCGAAGTATGAAAACAGAATTATTGAAGACCAAGGGTTCATCTCTGGATCTTGAAAAAAAAGTTGGTCGTGTTTTCAACAGCAAAAGACTGCTAAATTAAAACTCTGCTTCTCCAATATTGTTCTCGACAGAAGCATGATTTAATTCAAGAGCATCCCTGTTCCCCCTTGGGGACAGCTAAAACCTTCTAAGGATTTAATGAGTTTTACTTCATATCTTATCACTCAAACCTTTTGTGACCTACTTTCAAAAATGTACTAATCTTGCTATTTTGGAGTGGATGGATCATCTACTCTTTAACTGAGGTGAATATCATTTCTAATCAAAACAGATCCAGAAGAGAAGCTCAACCCTTTGAGATAACGGAGACTCATCTTTCCCTGGGGTCTCAGGCAGGAGTTAAACAATGTTTAAAATCACCGTTAATGATAAATCTTCTTTAAATGTCTTTGCAACATTTATTTTTCCTTTCAATAACCTAAGATGCTGGGATCTGAGGCAATTTGATATCCTAATTGACAGCTGTTAGAACCTTCTTTAGTTGGTACCCAGTGAAAGGCTATCAGTCAAGCAGCTAGCTGACCTGCTTTCAGGGCATCACCAGCCTCTTTAAACATTCCACAGATGCCTTGAGGAAGCTACACAGAAACCACAGCAGCTTGCGGCTGAAGTACAACTCCAGCTGACCTGCTTTCAGGGCATCACCAGCCTCTTTAAACATTCCACAGATGCCACAGCAGCTTGCGGCTGAAGTACAACTCCGACTCCTAAGTTGTATACTCAACTGTTTCAAGCAGTTTGTCCAGGACTCATTATCACCATAAGTCTCAGTGAAATCTAGATGGTCATGCAACTATTTCCATATAGGCCAGAGGAGGAGCACGTCCCCTGCTGACCCAGCAGAAGACTTCTGTGACTGGGGCAGAAGGGACAGTGCCACATCAGTATGACCACAGTCCTTCATTTGCATGAAGGTCTACTGTGATGGATGCAGACACCCTTTTCCTGTTATAAAAGCAGGCTCACTGTGAGCACACTGGGAGACGCTCCTGTGCTGCCCTCCTGGTGATATAACACTGGACCCAATACAAAGGCTTCTCTTGGGTGATCCCTTCTTGCCTCCTTTTGTTCAGCATCATCAGTAGCTATAACATGAAGGAGGAGGCAGCCATGACTGTGGAGATGACAGTGGAAGTGGCAGCAGTGGTGGCAGAGGTGACAACCACAGCAGCAACAGCTGCAAAACCAACAGTAGCTACCACCCAGGGGGTGGCAACAGTGACGGGAGGAGCTGAAGTTCTAGAGAATGTGTAGAGCGAAAACAATGGAAAGCAAAGGAGACACTTCAGGCCCAGAAGCTACAAGGCTAGCTGCTGTCAAAGTCTGGGAATCCCAGCTTCCTAGACCTG